AGTTGATATAATATAATTGGAGAGGAGACATGAATCGTGAAAGAGAAGAGAGGTTAGGCAAATAATTAGGGAACGGTAAGGTGAGAGCCAACTCAGAAGCCTGTGGATATCATGTGCTTAATTAGGTATACACAACAAGACTCGTGTGGATGTCCTAAAACATCTATCCTTTACCTACCTATTTTAGTCTCTCTCTATCCTTCCCCATGTGATACTCCTAATTTTTTTTGGTGAGTGGACCTCGAATAGGAGAGGCCAAAAAAAATGACACTGTATAATCGCTCCCAAAATAATAACCGAAATATATATATATATATACACACACCTTATGTATATTATGTACAAAAATTATATAAATTTTATATACTTTTTCGGCTATCGAATGTAAATAGTCTGGGGCGGGCTAAAAGTGAAGAAAAACTAAGACCGGAGAACTTTTGGGATGGAACTAGAACTAAAAGGGATCATTTGGTATGATGGATAAGCAAATATAATCATGTAATAAAAATTTAGTATCGCCTTATCCCTTGTTTGATTAGTAATTTTGAGATAAGTTATCTGCCAGAGGATGGAATAATACCCCCGAATAAATTATCTCGGGATAAAATAATAAAATTGACAATCCCATTAATACGACATACCCAACAGTCAATAAAAAATACTATTATAATAGCTAATCTTAGTATAACTAATTTCAGCATAACTAATCTCAACATAATTTATCTTCAAACCAAACAACCCCTAAGGGTCATCGAGTTTGGCAAAATTGGATGCTATGAAATTGAACCCTAATATATGTGCGAAAAAACAAGTATAGAAAGTTAGGCAAAATACATAAGTTACTCTTGAACTATGGATCAAATCTCTCTTACACACTTTTTGAATCTTACACCCTCAATCTTTTCAAAGTGTGTCTAATACAAACCTCTTTTTCCTTGACCAATTTATAAAAATATGTGTAATGTCATGCACCAATAAGATCATGACATGTGTTATTATTATTTTTTTAGGAGAAAACATTTAAAATTACTCTTATACCCCTAATTTTAAAAAATCCTCCAACACCTACATCTTCGTTTGCCCTCCGACGTTGCAAACCCACCGGAAAAAAGCCATAACCACCACTTCTTAATCTTCACACAAATTTAATTTTGCAATGATTCATCCATAACAAACCCAAGATTGAAAATGGAAGAGATAAAAACTAAAATTGTAACTCATACGTTCTCCATTTCCCTTCATATTCAGATCTCATACACAAATAAATAGAGCAAATCAAAATCAGTTTTTATTTTTATTTATTAAACAACTCCATTATGAATAAAAATCTCAAATCTTCCCTTATACAAAGGAAGCTGAGTTGGAAATTTTAGAATTTCATTCTCATGAAATATAATTTTTTTAAGGTAAAGATTGGATATTTTGGTGGATTTTAATGATAAAAAAAGATGCAAGAGAGAAGTTTAGAGGAGCAATTTAAAGAAACTATGCAACACCTTCTTTAAAAATTTATCAGAGTTTTGGTTGATTTTACTGTAGAAGAGATGGTGGGAAGGGAAGACCGGAGAGAGAAGGGGGGGGGGGGG